AAGATCACTTTAATGCTCAGATGTTGTCCTCCCACAACAAAGAGTTCCTATGACGGAGACAAATCCCTGCATATAACTTTCAACTCACTGCAATCATATCGATAACCAGTCGAGTCATGCTTCTTATTCAGTTACATATAAAAGTACAATTATGTAGGCACATACCGTTTCTGGAAAAGAACACCATATCACAGCCTTCTTATTTGAGCATATTAACCTTATCATATGGTTCCTTTGAACAGCTGATATATCTTTTAATTCCAACGGAATAGATTGTCATAGTTCTTTTTCCCCATCTACTAACACGCCGTGTTTGCCATGGAAATTAGTAAGCGACATATTCTCCCCAAGTAATGTATCAAAACACCTGCAGGTGGTGAATCAAAGGTTATCAGTAAGGTCAGTGAGAGCTGACTTCCTGTCGACACAAGATCAATGAAAAAGCCCTATGCCTTTCGACACTGACTGACGCCCTCGAAGGTATTCCGTGTATTATAAAGGAAAGAAGGTGCAATATGTGATGAAGTACTGATGTGATGTATTGACGTAAGGGCGTTTCATCGTTTCTAGCTATTGTCTTTCAAGGACAAATAGAGTTTTATACATTGAAAACGTCCCCTATTATAAATGTCCAATCCTTCTTTACTGACTTGCTTTTCTATGTGTCAGGATACGCTTATTTTTTCGCAGACACCTGGTATCAACATTATTTTGGATTTTGACTCGAAGATAAAACGTCAAGCATTATCCTACGAAACATATTCCTTTAGGCGTTAAATACAAAATATAGAAATTGATCACTGAAAATCATTGATGACACCAGGGCATACTGAGCATACCCTGCCCTACAGGTAGCACCCGCCACACACAACCTACACAAAACAGTATGTATTTGTTTCCTGACACCGCCATGCCATGCGTCCTCGGCATGCAAACGATCAGACGATCAGTGATGAAACGCATGCTTATGACAGAGTCGGAGTAGTACAATGGACTTCGCTTTCAGCAGATATTTATTATGATAATGGGAAGAGTTTTGGTGCTTTTTTCCCCATGAATATACACAGTTAATGTTTTGTTTTATTCACCCCATGCTGTATCCTTGACGGGATACTGACTAATTATTAATATAAGTTTATGTCTTAACGGCACACTTAGAAGGCATTTGCTTGGTGCTTAGTTAAATATGGAGCTTTATTTTTATTTTGCACCTGTGCTTGAAAATGATAACGAATCATTTTCATGGGGCTTTAAGCAGAACTCCAGTCAAGTCACGACGTCAAACACCAATAATACATCTCACACATTCAACTCATTGAGAAATCGAGCCCTGGTTTGAGGTTTGATAAGCCAATTATACTGAATTTGACTAGCCCCATATATCCTGAGGGTAAGAACCCTTGGATTTTTTGTTTCATTTCCAGGGCAACACTATATCCTTGGCTTAAAGGTGCCAAATACAACTAGTCATCCCTGACAGGCATAAGACATTAATAATGCAAAACTGACGAATACATTATCTCACAATCCCATCCATACTTCTTTCCGCAAATCCTTGATCACAAAGACCGAATAATATTATTTTCAGGAGAGTGGGTTGAGATTTTATTTCAGACATATTGTAGAACACACAAAACACGTATAACGTATTAATGAAAAAATAATGCAAATCTCTATATCCAATTACCATCAAAAGCAAGATGAAAATTCATGACATCAACAGAGTCGTGTCTCTATCAATAACGATACATCAACTCATGTACACCACCATCGACATGTAACAGGGACTCAGACACTCTCCCTACATTAAAGGGCATATGCGTCAATCAGTTACGTCCGCTCTAAGCTGAGAAGTGACCATGACAAATGTGATGCACCACCTCGGCTGTGGATAAACACATACGTTACAATAAGAGCTGACTAGAACACACTTGTGGTATTCCATGGGGACTTGGTTCCATCTCGTCACGTATTATATGTCTAGACGGTGGTATAATCACACATTGGCTGGTGATGACGAACGCGGGTGACCACATGCATCTTTCATTTTTATCGTCCTATGAGAAAGTCAACATTGAGAGTTTCGACTTTTAACGAGCGGTTATGAATATTCTGTAAGCTTGAGGTTAGTCTGTGTAATTAATCAATACATGGTGTAATAGAATCCTTTAAGGCGTGTCATGTAAATGTCGTGATAAGAGTAGGGATGCATTATGGATGATGCAGTGAATATAATTCTATTTGCGAATCACTCTTTTCAGCTGAACGTATGTTTCATGTTGTTATTAACAAGAAATGAATCACACCTCTCTTCTTTGATGTTTTCGGCGTGAAAAAAAATCTTACATTATGTGTGTTATAAGGATTCATTGTCGACACATGCGTCATCAGTTTAAAATGGAATAGCAAGTTCATTTATGTGAGTAAATGACTCATGGTTATAGTTGAAGATCGGATTCAGAAGAACACGTAGAACAACAACCTGAGCGATCGCGATATTATGAGTTCGCGCGCTGTTGAGCGCGGTCTGCCGCGCGATCGCACGCGTTTACTCGTGGTCAAATCCGCGAGGAGAGAGAGATGGCGTCGCACATCGTACAAATGATTGCCTTAGACCGGAATCGAACCGATATCTAAAGAGTAATATTTAAGACTATATCTACCATTCAAAAGCTTCATTGCCTTTTCAATATATTGACCCGTGAAGGTCCGGATGGAGAATAGGTCTTCAGCAACCCATGTTTGCCGCAGAAGGCAACTATGTTTGTCGTAAGGGGCGACTAACGGGATCGGGTGGTCATGCTCGCTGACATGTTTGATGCATGTCATCGTATCCCAGTTGCGAAGACAAACAAACAAATATTTTCAATATTAAAAATAAACACTTTGTTATCATGAACATCAAAGTATGAACCCATTATACATGTGATGAAAATAAATGTGTGAACCTAAATGTATAATACTTGGTAGAGCGGAAGGTCCGGGTTTCATACCAAAAGACTTTAAAAAACGGTACTTGTCGTTACCCTGTCTGACCCTCGGCATTAAGGGGCTAAAACAAGAACTGGTCGGCTCGGAGTCAGTATACTGCGTCTGAGTTGGGTATTCATGTTCAACGGCGGCATGGTATCTCAGTGGGCTAGCACTAAAATTCGCACGAGTCCCAACTAGTACACACATACACACACACACACACACACACACACACACACACACACACACACACACACACACACACACACACACACACACACACACACACACACACACACACACACACACACACACAATCACACACACAATCACACAATCACACACACAATCACACACACAATCACACAATCACACACACAATCACACAATCACACACACAATCACACACACACACACACTCACTCACTCACTCACTCTCACTCACTCACTCACTCACACACCCTATTTCACCTCATCTGTGGCCGTTTAAGATGCTGTGCCGTGAGAGCGAGTACGCGCCTTCCGTTCTGGAAGGAATCATATTGCCACGCTGTACGCTCGCCCGCCCTCCTCAGCACGCCTCTGATCACCCATATGAGTTTCGTTGCTGTGGAAGACCTTCGAGTAACTGAACAAAGAATCTGATTACCTCTTCCACAATCAATACCAGACAAGGTATTGGACGAAATGACTACATCCGATCCAACAGAAGCATAACGTGTTGCATTGACGTACATATGGTCGATGTTTGATTTCTTTAATATTCACCCTGGGACGTTACGATATGTTATGATATAAAATTGCTCACGTTTGCATTGATCGGACACTGGACAGAACACATACTGTGACTGATTTTTAGAAATTTGGATTCTTATGTAATCAACCTATAGTTTATGTGAGAAAAATGAATTTTTTTTGTTGGATTATGTGCAAACATATGTTCTTACAAACTTTATAAACAATTTCAAATTTCAAGTTTCTGTTCCAAATAATACACCAGGAAATCACGTTTACAACTGTAGGTAAATAAATAGAAGACATCTATGCATGTAATATACAATTTTGAAAGCGGAGTGTATATATTCTGCAGCTGGGAAAGCCTGACTGATTTGCTGTGTTTTGGGTACAGTCTTACACTAGGACATCCAGGTATGAGACTAAGATAGGGCATCATGAGTAGAAAGGCACCAGACTGACTTTTACATGAGCCAGGGGGCACGGGTGGCTCAACTGTCTAAGGCGTTCGAATCGTGGTTCGCCCCGATTATGTTTCTTTGTTTCACTAAAGTAGTAAACGTCTGAGACCTTATTCACTTCGGGCATTCCGCCCTTAGTAAGCGACGTGATTTAACTGCAATACTGTTGCAATTAGCGTTATCCCTCACTGTCTCATTCACTCTATATGTGTCATGTTTCTTTTAGCAGGACGCATTTGGACCTACCTCCCACCCATTCCCAAACAATATACAGAAGTATAAAGTTATTTCTAGTTCATAACACGTTTACCAAATGGCTGTTCCATAACATAAACTGACCGATTAGGCCAAGTTTCATATTGTTGAGGTTAAACAAGGTGGTGAGGTGAGGTGAAATGGGGTTTAACGTCGCGTCCAAGATTTATTGCACTTATATAGCGACGTGCATGTGCGTGTGTGTGTTTGTGTGGCTGCTTGTACTAGTCCGGACTGATGCCGATTTATAGTGCTAGCTAACTGAGATACCATGCCGCAGATTAACATGAATATCCCACTCAGACACAGTATACTGACTCCCGAGCCGAGCCGACCAGTCCTTGTTTTAGCCCCTTAATGCCGAGCGCCAGACAGGGTAACAACAAGTACCATCTTTTAACGTCTTTTGGTATGACGCGGCCGGGGATCGAACCCCGGACCTTCCGCTCTCCGGGCGGACGCTCTACCTCTCGACCACGGAGGCGGTCCTGATTTAACGTTAAACAAACGTGATAAACTTTTAGAAGTGTATCCGAAGTGTAATGTCTAGTTAATGCGCTACAGAAGCCAGAACACACGTTTATTACCCCCTGAATGAGCAATGGGGAACGCCGATCTCTTGTCGAGTTGTATGCAGGTCAGATAGCTTCCATCTGTCAGTAAACGACGTGGTCTGGCAAGATGATATCAAAAGTTACATTTTCTGCCTCTTTGCTGATTTACCTGACCTACGCTTTCATTTCTTCTGCTTTTGGTGATGATTGTCTTGTCGACGGTGTAACAGTGCAGAGAGATTTTGATATCAGCAGGGTAAGTTACAACGTTCAAACTTGCCACGCAGGTGGTACTATTTACACGTTCGCGTCCCTGTCGTAAATGATTCGTACATGTATGTACTCTCTGAGTCAGAATTGTTCAATTTTATTTTAATCTGGATATTCATAAACTTAACATCCACCTCTCTTGCAAATGTGACTGTTTAAGATTTGCATGTTAATTGTTCCAGTTTGCCATGTTTGACCCCGAGTAGTGTGCATCAAGTCATGTTAACTCAAACCACGGTGCCCGTAGGCTGAAGGAGCTAGGCGACTAAGAAGCTACACATTGTCGTTAGGCCGAGATATTTGTCTGCGATTTTAAAGATTAAGGAACAGTAGGAATATACTACGCCTCACTGTGTGAACTTTACTTATAAATCATTCATTTATAACTTGGTTCTATGGTTAATCGTGTCATAATCTGATTTATGTTCTGTTAGCAAAGTGCGACGCTACTGAACATGACTTGTCTGACGTGCTTTGGAGACTGACACTGTCGAATGATACCATACCGTGTTAAGAACGTATTGTGGAGCTGCATTTCATTGAATTATATATCCCCAAAAGAACTATTTGCCCCAATCAGTAGACATCTTTCATTAAGGGTTAAACTAATGGTTTTAGTCAGTAATATTGGCAGCTGGAAGCAGTTACAAAGAAATGTATACGGCAGCTACATCCTCCTTAGCTACAGAAAGGCAGCACGACCATTAATGCACCGTAAACCGTGTCTGCGATGAAATAGAATACATACGTGGACGTTTATGCGATGACACGAGCAGGAAATCATGGCCCTTACCCGCCTGGTAATGGGACAGATAAGACGTAGGAAGTTGCTTTGCTACGTCGCATACGAGTATGTAATGTAAATTGATATTTATGTACCTAACGTGATCCGCTAGGCCCGAGCTGTCTTTGCTTGCCGTAAGAGGCAGTCTATCAATCTATATTTTGCTTTCAAACACTGCAACAGACATTGCTATAAACTCTTCAATATACCAACTATTAGTTTCCCCAAAAATGTTATAAGTTATTATTATTAGATGCAAGTTATGGTAAAGTTAATTGGGTATCAAAAATGAAGATGTTATTGTATAACATGGGGTTTGGGTATATATGGGAACGACGGTTTATTGGTAGCATAGATTATTTCATTTCCGAGTTTATGTCTAGGGCACAAAATATGTGCCTACAGGAATGGCATGCTTCACTATCGTTAGGGTCAAAAACTTATTCCTATTCTGCATTTAATAACGTATTTTGACGTAGAACCATATATTGGTTGTGTTAATATTAAGAAATTCCGTATTGCGTTGGTTCAATGTAGGTGTAACTCACACCAACTGAATATAGAAACGGGTAGATATACGAATAAGCCTAGAAGCCTCAGACTTTGTGAGGGGGCACGGGTGGCCCAGTCGTCTAAGGCGCCGCGATTCGCTGTGCAGAGTTGCGTCCCACGCCAGAAACCTATGATTGTGGGTTCGAATCCCGGTTCGCCCCGATTATGTTTCAAGGTTTGTCAGCACCATACCCGTGCTCCTGGGTTTCACCGAAGTGGTTAACGTCTGAGACCTGCATCACTTCGGGCTTTCCTCGAACATTGAGCTGACACGCCGTGATATAACTGGAATACTGTTAAAAGCGGCGTTAAACCAAACTCACCCACTCACTCAGACTTTGTGAAAAGTGTTCCTGTGGATACATAGAAAACGAGTACCGTTTCCTATTGATATGTACAGCCTATGACAACCTACGTAAAATGTATATTCCTGATGAATGTTTTACATATGCATCCCTGTATATATTTAACACATTATTGTCTTTCACCAATCCTATTATAATAATAAACATTTCAATGTTTATCTTTCATACTAGTCATCTTCGCTCTTGCAGACAAACGGCTGTAATTGCTGTCACAATGTAATATGGGACGATGGCCTACATGCACCTGAATAAAGTGAATTGTGGCAAACAAATGAATGGTGTTCAGGCTCAGTGACGAATTGGTTGATTGCATGTCACGAATTGGTTGATTGCATATCACGAATTGGTTGATTGCATGTCACGAATTGTTTGATTTCATATCACGAATTGGTTGATTGCATGTCACGAATTGGTTGATTGCATATCACGAATTGGTTGATTGCATATCACGAATTGGTTGATTGCATGTCACGAATTGGTTGATTGCATGTCACGAATTGGTTGATTTCATATCACGAATTGGTTGATTGCATGTCACGAATTGGTTGATTGCATATCACGAATTGGTTGATTGCATATCACAAATTGGCTGATTTCATATCACGAATTGGTTGATTGCATGTCACGAATTGGTTGATTTCAAATCACGAATTGGTTGATTGCATATCACGAATTGGTTGATTGCATGTCACGAATTGGTTGATTTCATATCACGAATTGGTTGATTGCATATCACGAATTGGTTGATTGCATGTCACGAATTGTTTGATTTCATATCACGAATTGGTTGATTGCATGTCACGAATTGAGTGATTGCATATCACGAATTGGTTGATTGCATATCACGAATTGGTTGATTGCATGTCACGAATAGGTTGATTGCATGTCACCGAAACACGAAGGTGTAGGATGTTGCTCTGGTAGAGGATGATTTGACTGATTCAATGTTGTACCTGTCGCCGTGATAAAGATGGAATATGATGAAGAAACGCATGATCTCGGGTTTAGCATCGTTCATGCTGTTGTAGAGATGTTTTACTTAAGTGGTATGGAGAAGTAAATATGTTTTGTTGTGGACAGTGTTTTTTCTATATAAGTATTTATCATTTGCCCACCATTTATCCTTGCTGTTTGATGTGCATTCAGTATCTGGGTAAATGGTACGAGTACCGCTGGCATACGCGAGAGTTCTATCCCCCCGAGGAGAGGTTCAAGGACTACTACCACTACTACGTCCAGACGGCAGATGGAAACATCACCAATTACGTCAGTGGGCGGTAAGACGGTCAGAGTCAAATATAATCCCATCTACGGTTTATTTCAGTTAAAAATCTTTTGATAAAAGCTTGAAAGTAAATGAGAACGGTTTAACGACGCTTTGGGTGATATTCCAGTAATATCACATCGGGGAACACTTACGTGGGATTTAGATGCGCAGATGGAGGATGTTGCATTTGTCGAGTCCAAAGGACATCATTAGAAAAGGACTATTACTATTATGTACAGATTAATATAAAAAATGCAGCAAAGAGGGTTTGGGTGATCCTGCCCCCTCTACACGCAGCTCAGACAGCGAATAGGTCTTCTCCCAGGAAGCGCTGCCTAGTCAAACCCACTCAGAACATTTCGGAGAATGTGAAGACTCCCCAACACTGCAGCCTTCTGCATTACCCAGATTGTCAGAACGGATGTATTGCTGGTAGCAAACTCTGGTACTCTCCCAATGTCAGTCAACAGATTGGGAGGTACTAATCCTAAGGCACCGAGAACAATGGGGAGTCGGACAACATGGTACTTGGGATGAACGCGTGACATTTCGAAAGCGAGGTCCGCATATTTGCCATGTTTTTCCTGAATCTTGTCAATCACCTTGAAAAACTGAGTCTGGGCCGATTTGATCTGGCACGTCGCTTGGTTGACAATTATTTCTGTACCGTCCAACAGTACCTGAATTTAACAGGCCAATTTGACTTCTATCTTTGATGATGTGGACCATACGCTTGTTTGTTTATATTACGCTAGGAACGTGGTGCATGTGGCCGGTACATGTGGTGCATATGTAGACACAACCTGACCCTCTCGACAGCCAGACTCTGGTTCGGATACAAAGAGTGTATACACCTCCACACAGTAGAACATCTGCTGTAGCTATCTACTTTTAATATTTACAGCTCGAAAAGACACCGAGTGTGTTGTTAACATTGAGAGACTCACTTTTCTCCATGGAAAGTGAAGAGTGAGTTATTTAAAGCCCACCCCTCCCCCTTTTCACAGTTCTTCAGTTTGTAACGGTATGTCGGCTAAATGTGGAATGAAAACCAAAGGAGGTCGAATTAGTAGACGATAACCGCTTTGGTGAAACGAGCACAGATATGTTGCTAACAAACCAAGGATCAAAAGTATGGTGAGGCTGATCCATGGTCATCGGATCGTGGTACGACAAAGGGGCGCAATAATGCAAATTAAATTGTGGTGTCTCGGACTCATGGGTCACCCAGGTCCCGACATCTGTTTTCAAGCTTGTACCTACTAGCTCTGTATGTTCCACAGGGCTGTGTAGAGAGTATATTTCAATGTGGCAATAGGGGAGTGTTTACGATGCATATTGAGTGAGTGGGTATGGTTTTACGCCGCGTTTAGCAATATTCCAGCAATATCACGGCGGGGGGACACCAGAAATAGGCTTCACACATTGTACCCATGTCGGGAATCGAACCCGGGTCTTCAGCGTGACGAGCGAACGCTTTAACGACTAGGCTACCCGACCGCCCCCGATGCATATTGAAGTCATACATATAAAATACTAAACTCGCTCCCGTGTAATATCAATTTTTTAAAACGAGTAATTGTTCTGGTATCTGACGAGCAAAATTGAGTCATATACAAGAACTATTCAGAGTTTCATAAAGTTTACAATCACGTCACAATACCTTATGACGTAATTTGTGGAATGCACGATCCACCGGCGAAACAATGCCATGGGACGTCAGCCTAGCAACAGAGCTGCTGGGGTCATCAAGCGTGCATAAGCTCCTCTCAGTGATTTATCATATCTACACGCGGTATGGTTGAATAAGCCAAGGGATGTTCGGAGTTTTTCAATATTCGTTAGTGAAACTTATAATCCAAAACTGGCTCCCATCGGAGATATAGGTGAGATCAAGCGATGTCTACATTGTAGATATAGCTGCAATGAAATTGCATCACAATGCTTTGGTCACCATTGTGACGTCATTGTTACCATGACGTCACAATCAAATGACATCACTAATGGCTCTGCTACTGAAGCTGTTAGCAGTACTTTGTACACTTAAGACACTGCCTATTACTGTCTACAAACTGAAAAAGTTGGACAAATGATGTTGGATGATAAATAAAATCTCACCCTCATATCTTTTGATATCAAATATATCAACACTCGTTGATAAAAGCGGATAAGGTTTTTTCCACTTATATCAATTCATGTTGATATATTTGATATCAAAAGACACTCGGGTGAGATTAATCTCTTTTTGTTCTCGCAGTACATAAGCACGCGCTATGGCATTACACAATGTGTAATACAGCTGTATGTTCATTAAACAGGTGATCTCTTCACGAGTAATAAAACATGCATGTGTGTAATGTAAATTATAACCATTTAAAATCTTACCAAGAACAATAGTACCAGCATAAAACATACTTGCAATATTCAAGCTATATGACGGGGGCATGCAAATAATCGAATCTGGGCCCGCTTGCACAAAGCGATCTTAGTGCTAAGATGATCTTAACTCCCATACTTTAACATAGGCATGGGTACAATGCGTGAAGCCCATTTCTGGTGTCCCCCGCCGTGATATTGCTGGAATATTGCTAAAAGCGGCGTAAAACCATATTCACTCACTCACTCACTCACTCACTCACTCACTCACTTTAACATAGGATTACAATAGTCTTAGCGCTAAGATCGGTTTGTGCAAGTGGGCCCTGGACCAAAACGTCTTTAGAAGTCAAGGAGCAAATCTTCAAAAAAATAAACACCGGTACACTTTAAATCTTCAAAGAGTCATAGAGAAGTTTTGAAATATATGCTTTTAAGAATTAAATATATGTTAAAAAAACGTTACCTCAATTTATTTTGGATTTGAGGATACAGGCGTCCGTGTAAACACGTGAAGCGTTATTCCAACCGTGCAGGAGAATAAAGGTTATGTTTTGGTGCTTGTTTTCCTATATTAGTGGACATAAAGTTTTGGCTGCAAAGAACAATTGCAACTCAAGAAATCCTGGGCCCACTTGCACAAAACGATCTTAGTGCTAAGCCTTGTAAGCCTATGTTAATGTATGGGAGTAAAGATCATCTTAGCGCTAAGATCGCTTTGTGCAAGTGGGCCCTGAAATCGCCTTGTGAGTTCTGTTTGTGTAACAGTGAATACCAAATATATTACGTTGTTATAATTATATTAACACCTAATTATCCTTACCCAGCGATCCTACACGAGTAGACGGGAAATGTTTCTTCTATCACATGCACCTGGTGCCAACAGACACGCCTGGAAAGTTCTTCTGGAGGAAGAAAAACGGAGGTACGTATCAAACCCTCATAGACTAAATTATCATTCTTCACTTAAAAAGAGAGCGCCGTTTTCAAAACACAGTAGGTTTATCTCCATTCTACCCTGACAACAACAACGGTTGAGTGGGAGTTGTTTATCGTACAATAAAACACTGCAGGGAGAAAAACCACTTGATTACATCTTGCTGATATGGCTATATGCAGCTCAGCCATATATGTTCCCAATAGGAGGTTTCCAAAAGTTGGCAGGGCAATGAATGGGTCTTCAGCAATCCATGCTTGCTGTAAAAGGCGACTATGCTTGTCGTAAGAATGATTCGAACCTCCACCCTGCTACATGTGTCAAGGTAGGGGAAAGAGTGATTCTCTCCATAAGCTTTTTGTCTGTGGATCGTTACTAGCCTTATAGGGTTAATACATTCAAATTTTTTAAGACCCGTGAAGATTGGTCTTCAGCAACACATACTTGCCGTAAAAGGCGACTATGCTTGTCGTAAAAGGCGACTAACGGGATCGGGTGGTCAGGCTCGCTGACGTGATTGATGCATGCCATCGTATCCCAGTTGCGTGGATCGATGCTCATGATGTCAATCACTGGATTGTCTGTTCCGGATTATTTACAGACTGTCGCCACATAGCTGGAATATTGCGGCGTTTAACAACAAACAAAAAATAATTCCAGAATATATATATTGTGTTTAATATCCCCAAAATAATCAACTACTTTCGATTTTTGTTGAAATTTCACCTCATGATTTAATTCAAAAACACACATTAACTCCTTGAAAAAGACAGTGGCCATTCTGCAGGTCTTTGGAGGCTGGCATTTAATTACCTTTTAGTGACGCTTTGTTCACTATTCCTCTCGCACTTCTTCGTCCTCAATTCACCATTACAAGAAGGTGAACACTTTTTAGTGTGATGTGTTATTTGATGTGTGAGTTTGAAGATTCATTTGCATCTACCTGGGGGCTTAAATTCGTTCTGACGTCTTCCCAACTGTACACTTTATGGACCATGAAAGAATCACAACGTAATTGACGTGATCCTTGTATCTTCAGAGCAGTACCCCTACTGGGTATTGGAGACTGACTACAACCGGTACGCCTTCGTCTACGGCTGCTACAACATCTCGGTGAGCGGCACATGCACTGCAGCTCGTGGTTGGATATGGAGCCGTACTCCGACCATTCCTCGAGTGATAAGTGAGAGATCGCCTTGGTTCTACAACCGGACTTGTCTGTCGTCCTCAACCTTCCTGGAAACCCTTCAAACAGCAGGTAGGAAGGGGCGTCCTTTCTTCTCCTTATAAACATCTAAACCTCAGCTTGGGGCACTATCGTGTGATGTTTTGAACACATAAACTTGCATATGCACATATGGTCAAGGGCGTTGAGAATCCCCGTATACAGTGGAAACCCGCTTATCCGGACCCCAGATATCCGGAAACCTCACGGACCGGACGATATTAACGTGAAACAGGAAATTCAATTCAAATGGTAAACCATTAGTCCAGTGACGTTTTATCGCAAATTTCACAGTTTTATTGACCAAGTTTGTTATTGCGTGTTCATTTACCTGAATTCGCTGAATAGATACGATGTAGTTTTTGACAGCGCCAGAGACCATCGGTATATGGTCTCTGACAGCGCATAATACTCGAAAGATCTTATGAATTGCATAAACAGCGTTTTTTGTCTCCGTAGAATTTTGGTCGAAGAGGTAACTCTGGTCATATATCCGAAAACTCGTTTATCTGTCTCGGACAGTTGCTCATTGACCCGTGAAGATCCGGATTGTCTGGTCTAGACTCGATTATTTACAGACCGCCGTCATATAGCTGGAATTTTGCTGAGTGCGGCGTTAATCAACAAACCAACCTTTGCAAACGTTGAGTGATGTACGAATGGTATCCTATGGTATCAGAGGAATGAATTAAGTCTTTGGTCCATGATGAAGTCTGTGCATAATATTTATGCCCGTGACATGTGGTTCATATCGGTTAACCACGCAGATTGATCATGACAGGATTGTTTCTGCTGTGCATCATCAAACGTCTAACGGGACGATAGAAATCTGAGTCTTGTTTTATTACAACGATAACAATAAAATGGATGCTGCCAGTAAAACCTGTGGCCATGCAATGCTCGCTTGCTTCCAAGAACAACATCTTTTTCATTTGCCATCTCCAAAAAACTTTGAAGTCCAAGCGCTACCTTAACAAACTTTTTGCCTTGGTTTGTTTTTATTTGACTGGAGACTTTACCTCCCGCATCGTCGGTGATCGAGTAGTCGTTTGAGCATCCTTAGTAGGATTGGAAACCGTTAATACCACTCTAAATCGTTTATTTTCGCTAGGCCGGATCACATGAGTTGTTCCAAAACACATGAAGGCAGTCGTATAGGCTTATAACTCCCTTGGCGTCGGGAGATAGTATATTAATTCAAACCACAGTTTAACATTTTAAGGCGGCTGACTTAAGGCTCGCGAAAATAATTAGGTTTCAGTAAACATGCCTCAACCGGTATCGGACCGAAGATAGGTAAATACACTGCCTGGCAAAAGAAAGTATACACTTGAACATTGGATTCGACCAAAAGATTACAACCGTTATCAAAACGTTACTCGGGACAAACAGTCGCCGAAACACTGCAAACTAAGGTCCAAAACACCAGAATGATACCCGTATCACATACAGCACAGTCGGATAACCAATTCTTGTTTGTTTTATTTTTAGCCACCATCAAACATGGGTGTATACTTTCTTTGCCCGACAGTTTAGAGTATATAGTGAAACCTCGGGCAACATCGCTCAAAATGGAATCGTTCGAATTTACTAATTTCCAGAAGAACGAATCATTGCTCTTTGTATATACATTGTCAGAGCCTTCCGCCAAACATGTCTGCCAGCTTTAAGAGGTCCGCAATACGAGGTGTTACTGTTTATTTAAAACAAAACTATTGTTGAATTTTTTTTCAAAGTTTTTTATTCACTTCGAGGGTGGTCACATGGCTAGATAAACATCTTTGGTAGACAATAAACATTTGTGGTTTAGGCGTCAGGTGTTGGCAAAAGATATATATTCTTGGAATAATTCTAAATGTACATAGGTATTATCGACCTTAGGTATATGTATAGTGCAAAGGATGTACCAGACAGTTGTTCGAATAGTATTGATCAATATAGCAAAGATCTAAAGATTTAAAGATCAATACATTCGTAAGAAATATCTCCATTTCCTTTCAAACAGATTCAATTTCTGCTTCTTCTGGCAATTATTTTTTCAACAGCAAATGCCTCTTTCAGCGTGGCCAAGAAACACTGTAATTCAAGTTGTTTGTTTTTCATACTGGATTAATAAATATGTCTTTTTGGCTAAAATTAGGACATGGTTTAAAAGTTTGTCACATGATACTGAACCAATAAAAACTGATATTTCATCTTGGATTATTGGATGATCATAAATTTGTTCCATATACACTTTGCCAACATTTTCTAACTTGTACACAATTAAAAAATACAGGTTGTAAATTTTCTTTACGAGATTGACAAAAGTAACAAATATCAACAACTAATTATATTTTTAGTAATTATTCTTGGTATAAATTGCTCCATGCAAAAATCTATATTGAAAATCTAACAGTTTTACATGTTTGGTACAATGTCTAAATATACAAAAAGCTTTGTTCCATCGAATAGTCTGTTCTAATATATCTTCCTATTTTCTATAGATTATAAAGGATATGTGTTACATGAAGAAAAAAACATAAAAAATTCTTTCACCTATTGGATGGTTTCAGTAATGATTTTAAAGGGTTACTTAGGTCTTGATTATAAAGATATTTAGTTGGTATATCAGACATTTGTCTCCTCAGATTATGAGGGATATTAAATATAATTTTTTTGTAATCTAAAAAGGTACCCTTAATATCATATACATTTTTAAACACTCTAACGACATAATTCCATATTCATTACATATATCTTTAATTCTATGGATACCTTTTTTATACCAACCTTTAATAATCAATTTTCATCGTTACATTTATGGTTATGCCACAGCGGTTGTGAAAATGAATCATAATATTCATCACTAATTACAAAACATTTATAGTTTTTAACCCGAGCTGTCAACACATCTTTCCAAAAAGGATTTTCAATGTTGAAATAGTCTTTAACATTAGCACCAAGTTGAAGAATATCTATCAGATGGAAATTGCTTTTGCTTTTGTTGAATTTTATCACAAGATGTGCTGCGTTCATGGACGTCCTGGTTATTGGAAAAAAACCACGCGGTTTTGTTTCGACGACGTTGTGTTTGAAACATCTAATAGGGAACGTGAACATTACTCCCTTGGTTTAATGGGACAGTGTAGAGTGTAGGACAAGATCAAGAAATAAAGTTATCTTATCTAAAAATAAATATCTACAAAATAAAAAAATAAAATCCGAGTGAAGCCCAGAACAATGCCTTGTTTCAAGATCTAGATTTGCCAAATCATTGTGGACACGTTTCTTAATGTATCCTCTTGGCTCAGAAGACAAAGGGCAGTGTGTCGTGTATATTTCTGTATGGTACTAGTAGACCGCTTCAGAGAGTGTTGACAATACATAAAGAAGCCATACAACATGCATGTATACATTAAAGGATTAATAATAATGATTTTGCATCAAAATGTGAATATGAAATGTAGAGTATGCCATGAATTTAATGAGACTGTCCAACACATTGTCAGTGGATGCCCAGCTTTGGCACAGGCACAGATCTTAAGCGACATGATGGCGTGGCTCGATCATTTTATTACCGTGTTCGCCATGTGGTTTTGACACAGAAGTCCATCCATGGCACGACCCGGAATATTTAGAGGGCATCATGGAAAATGATAAATACAAAATCCTTTGGAATAGGCCCGTATACAGCCTCAGATATATACAGGCCAACAAACCTGATCTTGTCCTTATTGGTAAATCCAATGTAATCAATTATGTTATTGTATTTTCTGTCCCTTTTGACACTAATGTGATTGACAAGATCCAGGAAAAGCGTGGCAAATATGCAGACCTCGCTTTCGAAATGTCACGCGTGCAAGGGCCCTGAGCTGATGATCAGCCAAACCAGCCTGACTATGCCAGCAACACACACACACTCTTTGCTGTATTTTTTATTTTAATCTGTAAGTACTACTACTACTACTACTACTACTACTACTACTACTACTACTACTACTATGTCCAATATAATGCCCCAAATTTTATTCACCAAGTGGCTGCTCACAGCGCTAAACTATTATTACCCCGGTCTATAGATCAGTGTGCACTCGATTTTCATTCTGAGCTCCCTGGGGAGTATACAACCAAACCAGCCTGTGAGGCGCTAGAAGGTTAACAGACACCATCTCATCCTACCGGGTACCCTTTCACTGCCGGCTGACCAGTGGCACATTTCCATTTTGTACGTTGTGTATACATAGAATGAACCACTCAGTTATTATTGTGGACATGATCAGCCTCGTTCTGTTATCAAAATAATTAAAAGCGACAAAACCTTCTAAAAATCATAAGAAATTTCTGTTAAAAGCAGAGTCCATTTAACATAAGTAACTATATAACCTAATTTGCCTATTTGCGGTACTCAACATACATGTACATGTACGGTGCCAAACGTCTCGGGCGGAGAAATTCGCTGCGCGGAGTTGCGTCCCTTAGGCGAGCCAGAATCCTACGTCGTCGATTCGAGACCCTGACTCTCCCTGATTATGATCTAATGTTTGTTTCGATAAAGTGTTAAACCTTTATCTCTTTCCTCCCACATTAATCCGACACGCAATGAATTACGTACACTCTGTTCAGAGCGGCGTTAAGCTCAACGCCTTCACTCACTTATATATCATTGATTTATGTTATACATAACAATTTTGTTACAAACGGAGGCCCAGATATCCCTGTCCCCCAAGTCGCTTAAATTCGCCGTGCAGAGTTGGGTCCCTTTAGCGGGCCAGAAACCAATGATCGTGGGTTCGAGTCCCGGTTCTCCTTGACTATGTTTCAGTTTGTCAGCACCATGCCAATGAAAGTGGTTTCGCCAAAATGGTAAACATCTAAGACCCGCATCACTTGCGTGAAGCTGGCACGCCATGATATATCTGACTTGATATTATTCAGAGTGCAACATCCCGGCGCAGTACAGCGTTAACACTGGCCAGAACTGCCACGTGTCCGACATCCCTGTACAAGAAGACTTCGACATACAAAAGGTGGGTAAAACTCACACTCCGGTGCTGTGATACCTTAGCAATACGCCAATGCCACAAGCTTATTTGCATATCATGTAGCCTGACGTTTCTCCTGTTTCTAAATAGAAGCGACAAACCCTTTTCCATACTCCTGATGACAGCAGGGTCGATTGTACGATTCCGACTATATCATGAACATGTGTTTATGAACCACTATCAAATAGTGATGGCACCAGGTGTTACCGAAAAGGGGAGCGTATCCTGCCCTATCGGTTGCACCTGTCACAAACACATGCAAAGGCAAGTCAACTGTTTACCTGTAAACAGAACACATAAGTCAAAATAGGGAATTGCATCGGACATCATTTCTGTCACTGATACGTCTACCACATGTCTACCATAAACCGGTTTGAAAGCTTTACTGAGGCCTTGAATGTTGTCGTATGACGATAGTAGAAATCGTGGCAGAAAGAGCTTGCTCGATTGAGCCTCAAACGTTGTGAAATGTAGACACTAAAGTCTGGAGCCCCAGGAATAGTGCTAGACATAAAGGGAAAGGGAAAGTTGCATTGGAAAGTTGCAGTCATCCATCTTGTGGAGTGTTTTGTCACTCTTTATGCATAGATCTAAATATTAAACAGATGAGGCGGTCTATCTGGTCTCCTTAATTTTGGTTCAGGCGGGTAAATGAATGGAAGGGAATTGGTTATTTGATGGTTATTGAACGATATCAGATTACTATTTCACGTAATATATTTATCTAAAGGTGTTGACTATCAACAAATGTCCACTCCTCAGTGTGCTAGAGTGAGTACCACTTACAACGCAAGTGAAATCACTGAATAAATTGCCGTTAGTGATGAAGTATATGAATATTCGCCCAATTTTTGCAAGGGTCTGTCAGTAATCGTAGGGATACTTATAACATACATATAATAACAGGCACCATCTCCTCAGTCATCGCAGTAAATTATTGAGGACTTATGTCAGTAATAAAGACGTGTAGGATCAGTGTCGAATGAAATTATGTATATAACAGTGTAACAACACGTACCATCTGTTAACGTCTTTTGGTATGACGCGGGCGGACGCTCTACCGTTGGAGCACTGGAGACCGTAGAGAAGGAATTTGGACAAAATTCATGAGGCCGTTTCCTTACTTATTTCACAAAACTTCACGCGTCATAACGGATCTATACATATGATTACATGTACAGCACGTACGGGGGCATTAACCGTCCATTGTCGAGGACAAATGATGCTACCGTTAGAGTGCTTATTTCAAGATTTGTGCCTATAATATGTATGGTGTTATGCCCCATAATAGATTTAAAACACAAACTTTAAAAGTTAATTTCAAAACTAAGCTTAAACAACCACTTATATATAGTGGTATTTTAGTCAATTCTAGATTTCCGTAAATACAACAAACTACCAACGGTTATTCGTAAATGTTTTTAACAATATCAGTTAATTGCATCAGAATGGATATTCCCTATTTTCAAAACAGAGACATAAACACATGTATGCTATAAAAGTATCGGTAAATCTAAAACGTCGACAACAGAGATTAATCAGTCTCGGTTAACTGTCGAAACAGATTCCATTGAGTGTAAAAGGCAAACTAGTTGTGGGTGGAAATTACGTGAATTGACCAGTGAGAGTCAGTGATGACACCAGGTGTTCGCGAACACCTTTAGTTCATAATACCATAACCCATACGCGCATTAGGTATAACAAAATGACCTGGGTTGTAATCAACATACTTCCGTCTATGATCCTTAGTTTCTCAGCAAAGTGGTAAACGCCAATATGATCTGCGTTCTCTTTACTCCCAGGTGCTGTCGACCGGTGAAGATTCCGGGGTAGAATAGGTCTTCAGGAACCCATGCTTGCCGTAAAAGGTTTCTATTCTTGTCGTAAAAGGCGACTAACGGGATCAGGTGGTCAGGCTCGCTGACTTGGTTGATGCATATCATTGATCCCAATTGCGTGGATCGATGCTCATGATATTAACCACTGGATTGTCTGGTCCAGACTCGATTATTTACAGACCGCCGTCATATAGCTGGAATATTGCTGAATGCGGCGTTAAACAACAAACCAACCAAACCAACCAAACCAACCCACGAGCTGACAAGCTTTGATATAACTGTTGTTCAAAGCAGCCTTAACCACAACACACTCATCCCCATATAGACGTTGTATAATACACTTGGTTCTGATGTTAGTATGCTGGTTCATGGTATGAGATGAGGTGGCTGGCCCAGTCCTACATCCCTGCCACAGAGCTGTTCCAGGACTACCGGCACGTCTTGAGTCCCCGGGGGGACGGGACACTCTCGGCTGTCATCACTGGAAGGTCAGACTCTCGCCTATATCCTAGGTACTCTCAAAGGGAAAGCAATTTCTCTCAATTTCATGAAAATCAACTTAAAGTATCTATTATTCATTGACGCGGGGAATATTGTTTCTAAAGTGTTCGTCAAATAACATTATGCTTTGATGCGGCATCTTGAGTATTCTACGCGTCGAAAGGTTGTGATATTTGTGTGTTTTTGTGAATTGGGGAGTACTCAGCACTGCTCTTGTTTACACTTATCTTAGCTTTAATGGGGGCAAACCACAATTCGCTTGTCTCTTAAGGGTGCATGAGACTTATAATAGTAGGTTCGAATCCAAGATTCCCACTGATTATATTTCTCGGTCTTAGAAACCTCCTCTAGGCCTGCATTACGTCGGGTGTTCCTCCCACATCAAGCTGGAACAACGTTATAGCCGAACTACTGTTAACGAATCCAACTCACTCACTCCGTTTAGCTTCACTTTTAGGAGGAGGCACGGGTGGCCCAGTCGTCTAAGGCGCCGCGATTCGCTATGAAACCTATGATTGTGGGTTCGAATCCCGGTTCGCCCCGATTATGTTTCTAGGTTTGTCAGCACCATACCCGTGCTCGTGGGTTTCACCGAAGTGGTAAACGTCTGAAACCTGCATCACTTCGGGCTTTCACCCACATTAAGCTGACACGCCGTGATATAACTGGAATACTGTTAAAAGCGACGTTAAACACAACTCACTCACTCACTCACTTTTAGGAAACTGGCTGAGTGGATTCGGGGGCCGCAAGTCGTTGTGCGGATTCTTTGCTGGGTGAACGGGTAGACCCTTCACAGTCCCCGTTATCCGCTGAGCAGAATTGGGTCTATTAGGCGGATCGGGGATAATTTGATCGTGGGTTCGAATACCAGATTCGCCATAAGCGCCGTGATATAACTGAACTGCTTGCAATAGTCTAGACTCATGCATTTATAGTGATAGTCCACTAATATACATTCACAGTTTAATATGGATACACACTCAGACACAATATACTGACTCCGAGCTGACCAGACCTTGTTTAAGCCCCTTAATGAACTTTTCTTTTGCATAGAAACAAGAAACATTGAAGAGAATGCTAATCAATAACATTTCATTTCAGGAGCAAAGACGGATGCTTTTATAGAAAGGCGATCTTAGTACCTTCAGCTACTGCAGGGAAACTTACATTGAAAGTGTTGGACGGAAGTGCAGGTAAAGTTTAAAGACGTACCCCCTATTGCAGTCCAGACACACCTTGTTGAATGGTGTTTCATGGTTCACACTATAACGGGGCGGTCGGGTAGCCTGGTGGTTAAAGCGTTCGCTCGTCACGCCGAAGACCCGGGTTCGATTCCCGACATGGGTACAATGTGTGAAGCCCATTTCTGGTGTCCCCCGCTGTGATGTTGCTGGAATATTGCTAAAAGCGGCGTAAAACCATACTCACTCACTCACTCACTCTCACTATAACAGTGTTTTATACAAACCCCAACTCAGCTCTATGGACTTCTAACGACGTCAGGTTCTAATCCTTTTCCGATCCCCATAAATTGGAAATTAATCCGCAAATGTCTGGGCAAAGATGTAATTCTGGAGGACTTCTCGACTCAGTTTTAACATGAAAGCTAGATGAAACACGCATTGAAACACTATTTATCCCTGATGAAGTTTAAATTTGATTTTCTATATTTAGGAAATAAACGACGAGTGGGAAATGCAGTAAAACACTGCACGGAGAATAAACAATGAGGGGCGCTGATCAGAGGGGTTGATCTCCCTGCAGTGTTTTATTGCACGATAAACAACTCCCACTCAACGACCACGAGTCGTTTATTTCTTACATGAGATGTCAACATATTGTGCAGCCTCTTCAAGGATGATGATAAAATTTACAGGCTTAAAAATACTTACCCGTATTTAGATAACGACGACTCCCTCGACAGAATCCGACCTAGGCAATGTCAAACAAGTCCATTTTATGCACAGGTGGGTATTTCCTGTAATTGCTCACAATCCTCGCGTCGTTTACCTGTACCTTTTCTCCCAATACCGATTGTCATATCTCTCTCACTTTTGGATGCGATCGTTCGGCCATCGCGTATATCTACGTTGCCAAGCTACGTCTACGGGGAACAACTTACTAGACCCCTCCCTCTAAAAATCACGTCATTAAGTTGCGAGCGCATGTTCGAATCTCCAGATATGACGTCATGATAGAACAATGTTTCATCGTGAAATTAACCACGCTTCGTTCTTCATTGATCTTTGCGATTTATCGCGTAGCTATCTTATATCTATAGATGCCTGCATGTTGTGCAGTGTTCACGATAGAGGAGCTTGTATGCATGTGTAGTCTCACCGCGCAACATAGAGATCAGTGACGACTTTGTAACCCCACCCTACTCAGCTCGACACGTCTGTCTTTTCCAGATCAGTTCCCATACTGGGTGATTGACACCGACTACACCAACTACGCCGTCATGTATGGGTGTCTTAACGTCACAAGCGACGGTAACTGTGTGGCTGCTCGGTCGACTGTTTGGAGTCGGGGGACCACACTAGCAAGACGGTTCCAGTACAGAGCCAACACCGTGTTGCAGGCGTTATGTCTGAACCCTGCCGCCTTTCTGGATACCTCGCATCACCAAGGTTTGTTTGTTTGTTGTTTAACGCCGCACTCAGCAATATTCCAGTTATATGAAGGCGATCTGTAAATAATCGAGTCTGAACCAGACAATCCAGTCATTGACATAATGAGCATTGATCCACGCAATTGGGATACGATGACATGCATCAACCAAGTCAGCGAGCCTGACCACCCGATCCCGTTAGTCGCCTCTTGCGACAACCCATGCTTGCCGTAGACCTAACCCGGATCTTCACGGGACCATCACCAAGGTAACGCTCCAGCATTTCCCTATCCACATCACTACCCAACATTATTAAAAAAATAAACGACGAGTGAGAGTTGTTTATTGTACAATAAAACACTGCAGGGATAATGAAACACGAGGGGCCCAGACTACCATTAGTTTGATATGGAATGACCTTGCCTTACAATCAAGACTTACAATCAATATTCTTCTGATCTGGTCAAGAAATACCAATTTCTGCCTTAGTCTTGCCTCTATTACTTCGAGAAATGGAGAGCCTAAGCCCCATGATCATGTAATGAAACTTTTCTGGTCAAGAGGTACCATGTTGTCATGTGGTTTGAGGAGTTAAAACTTCTGAAGACGCGCACTCACATCTTTCTGCACAACGGCATCTGAAAGATCATATTACACCACATGACAACCGTGTTTTGGGCAATTTATTTCAAAAATAGTTTCTGCCAAGTTTGTGTATTGGGTTCCACAACATGCTGAAATACTAACCGCAGTATTTACGGTAATACAATTGTTTTCACATTGCTTTCACGATCACCGTCACAAGACATACGTTGCCTTTCCCCCGAAATAAAAGGGTGGAGGATTTTGTTTCTTTGGGACAAAAATAAATCAACTGACAGATGATGAACAAAACATGTCGATCTTCAAGATCTGCTTCTTCTTAAACGCATGTCGACAGTGTTCTTAACGATGTTAGAAGGGAGTTTCTATTCTTACGTCTAAATGTGTAGAGTTCTTTCAAAAATACCCGTATACCTCCAAATGTTTGACGTTCTTGGACCTCTGACCTAGTGCTTAATTATAGAGGTTGTATATACTCTAGCTTCTTTCACTGGCATCGCTTCAAACCATGGCGTACGAAAAGAGAAAACTTAGTTTTAATGATTGTAGCTACATCAGGTGCACACAGTAGCGGCTGAGGGATGAGGAGACAGGTTGGCACTAAACATTTACTTTCGGGCCCTTTGTCTGGTTAATGGAAACAAACAGATATGCAACAGAATGGATTTGATGACCATCTGTAGGTTCCGATGTGCTCTCTTTCAAACGTGTCTAACTCGATAGAGCTGGGAGCGAGTTGTCAGAATCAAAACAAGGCTATTCTTTGTCATCATCTGCTCATAGCTGCTAATACAGTGGAATTATAGACTTCGGAAGGAAAAACATCTGTGCATGTGTTCCCGCTGTAGTGGTGAGTGGTTGAACATGGTAGGTTAAACGCTCTTTGAACAATATTTCAGGTTTACCAAGGGTGTCAGCTTAATGTGGGAGGAGAGTACACAGTAAGAACTGTTGCCACTGATAGGGCAGTACATGGTTACACCTTTTCGCAAACACCTGGGGTCCTCGTTCATTTTCAGTGATCCATTCATATAATTTTCATCGCTATATCGTCGGGTAATCTTGGTTTGGCGTTTTCTATATACAGTAAACTACGGTTATAACGAACACGCTCATAACGAATTAACGGATATAACGAACTTGCTTTTTTGGTCCCGACTCCTTGCTGGCGTTACGCTGTATATGTGCTTATAACGAACTACGGTTATAACGAACTAAAATTAGTATTCCCTTTGAGTTCGTTATAACCGTAGTTCTTTAAGATGATACTGATTTACCTTTGAGTTTATATTCATTTAATACCATACGTTTGTTGTTAAGCCTTGGATTTTTACATTAGAATGTTGTCATCTTTCAGGTGTTGTATTTCTTACAAGCTACAAAATGCTACATTATTGTTTGTAAAAATATTTCTGGGAGCTGTCTTGTTGCATAATTGTCCTTTAACTTTTTAATCAAAACAACAGGTCTTATATTATATACTGCCATGACATGATGAATGCTTGATTCTGATTGGTTAAAAGAGGTACCTTTTTGGTACGGAAACCCCTTTCAAATATATTAAGCCTTTTCACAAAAAACGTGCCTAAGAATACATAGATAGCCTACATATCGATTCATAGAAAATGGCTGCTGATCGATCATCCCCATATGAACTGTAAAACATATCTATATTTCCTCTAATACACGCTGGGTCTCTAATACCAGCCAGGTCTCTAATACACGCCGATTCAAGGGCTCTTGCGAAATTAATATACGGCGTAGCGTCAAATAGAGGAAATACGGTAGTTTGATATCGGATGTTTGGGGCGTTCTAGGCCGCAACCCTGACTGCTTGGATGATGACATTAAAAGATTTAACGAAGGCATATCTTTTGCATACAAATGAAATGTTTATGTAACTGTTAGAGAAATGTTCTATGGTGACCAGAATCGGAACAATTAAAGCTATTTCCTCATTGAAACAACCGACAATGAAAGTAGAAATAACATTTAAAAAATTGTTTGAAAAAACTTTATTCATGACAACATGTTGTTTACAAACCTTTTTCTGATCGATATTCGTTGCCATCTCCGTTAACTACCACCGTTAGAATTTGGCAGGAGGGGATTTGAAAGTCCATCAGAAAACACTGCCCTTCGAAAGTGCACGAAAACAATGTCCCAACTGAAGTGACAGCTTATCAAACTTGATGAAATTCATTTCAGAACACGCACAATTAAGAAAATCATACACGATCCACTATTTCTGGGACACAAATGTCTAAGTTGTGTCACTATTTGGCTTTGGATCCGTGAAATCTTGAAATTAACACATGCAGATTCCTCGTTTCAAAATATCCGGCTCGACTACAGCCTAAAAAGCGGCTGTTCAGTCATACTCAGTCACATTGGTAATCATATGGATGTACCAGCAGGCTCGATCAATCCCAGATAATCTACCTGTTAATGTTGAACCACATCATAGATCGGGCTTGTCATCTTGCTTCTTTCTATAACTCGTTACGGAGAATGTAAACAAAAGATTATCAGCCATTGACAGCTGTGAGGTGTGAGTAACCGTGATGTAGGTCAAGTTCTGCCACATCCAAGTTCGGGGTGGAGAGGCATTTATTTTGATTTTAATATTGTATACTGGGGGTATTTGCTAACTAACTAATAACACTTACACATGTTAAATGTATAATAGAATGTTAATTCATAAAGTTTGCTGTAGAAATATATTCGTTTAGCATTTTAAAAGCTTTTTCTATTACCCGTCGCCCCTACAATAGAAATGATGGCATGTTCGATTTCCAAGAAATGACCTCTCGCACAAAATTCCGAGAAATGACACTCAGTCCACAGTATACAACAGTGTTCAACAGATTGGTAGAAATTAAAACATCTCTCTTTGGACTAAATTTGGAGTGTTATTTGTCAACTTCTTTTGAAAAACTATGTGTTTTGAACACTTATTGTGAACTACTCACGACTATGGTGTTTTTAATCTTGAACTTTAGTAATAATTGTTACATATATACTACCTGTGACCACTTTTCGGAATGTTCTAAGAGTGCGGACCTGTGCACCTGTGTTATTACGCTTTGCAAGAGAGCGACCTTTTCAAAGCGTTGTTGCTGTCATGGTAGAATGGTGATAAACCTACTGTGTTTTGAAATTTTATGTAGTCCCACTGTAGAATTGATAACTCTTTATTCTAATTTTGAACCGAGCGCTTTAACATGAAATTTGATATTTCAAACCACTCTCTAGTCTTAGAACTCGTTCATTTCAGCTTGTCCAGAGTGCAAGGATGACTCATGTTTCTACAGTAAGTAACTTACATTTATGTTAAAATTACAACGTGTGGGATATGTGTTTAGTGGCATATGCATGCTTTAAGGGTGATTAACATGGATATTGGCTAAACATATACCAAACTGGCTGCTTAGCGTGGATAGCACGAGCAAAAGTCATGTACCTGAAAATATACTAATCAGTCGTATTCTTGCCAACTTGGTGTGTTTAGCGTAACCTAATGGTATCTGCGATGCTTACTCTATCAAGCATCGGTTTGCCTGTCCCTGGTCATATTAGACGTTGTAATCCAACGTGACGAGTTGCACTATTGGTGAATAGGGCCTAAAACCCAATTCCACATCCGTTCACTCGTACTGATTTCGCTGGAATGCAGGATAATTCAATGACGGGCCCACGATCAAATACCGATTAAGCTGGGGACTGGGTTTAAACAGTTTGATCCGTCTGATTGTGTATCTCTGAACATAAATAGCATCAGTCGCTGCTGATGCTGTCAATCAACAGTTTGCTTGTGCCGACTTGCGGTTACCTATAAGTTAAGTACTTAAAAGGGTCGGCCATTCATTGTATTGATTTAGCATTACATTTCTTAAAATTCTCAAGTTATGATTCGAAAATATTGTTCGTATAAAATGCGTAGATAACAACATTAAATTAAGAAAATAATAAAATTACATTTTGTTTAGAATTTCGATACTGGCAACAATTGACTTTTTTACAGAGATTCCAGATTCCATTATAAATATATTTGCTAATTTTTTTTCAGAAACCAATGGGGAGTCTAGACACAGAGATAGCTCCATTCTGTTGTTGCTCGTCATTCTTCTGGCTGGAGCCTTCTTCACCAATATACTCTAATACACGTATGATGTCATGCTTTAGGCATTGTGGCTGATCAGTGAATTTAGAAAGTAACGTCCATGTCCATAACCCTTCCCAGATATACTCAGAATAATAGGAATGATGATGACAAGCCTAGACCCATAACAGGATGATTCTGTTGTGTCCAACTGATAATGTTTAATATGTATGTATGTCTTATAAAGTAACGCCTCGTTAAACCAAACTCCATTAAGGGACTTATTATTTCAGGGGTGGGGCCCGTGAGATTAGAGAGAGAGAGAGAGAGAGGGGGGGATTAAATGCACTGTTTTACTTTTTTTTAAAGTACAGTGTAATGAACATTACTTAGGCACTGGTCATATATATAAAATAGGGGGTGTGGGATGGGGTGTTGTATGTAATGTTGCATAAAATAAGAGGGTCGGCAAAATATGATACAGTCCTTAGACCAATCCCACTTGTCATATACGTACCTTTTTACCGTTTCAATAGAACTGTAAATAAAATATAAACATGGACACAGTATTCCCGAGGTTGCATTTGTTTTATAAAGATATTTGTAACATAAAAAACCATGAGAAAAAAGACGATGACCATGTGATTTTTCATGGGTTAATGGAATAAAACATCAACTGTTAACCGTTACATGCATGTTAAATTCCCTTCTAAAAATAAATTTTGTTATTTACTTCGCTAGTTATCTAAGATCTTCCGTCTAGCAATACAATTATAGAATATGTTTTTTTTGTACAAACATTTTTTCAAAACATATTTATATGCGATCATACCTGAAGGAACATGTTCGTACAGTCCTCTGGAAATCGTTAAATCCTATTAAATCTCAGCCTGTACACCCGAAACTATTTCTAGCCAGCCTTCCTTTGTCGGCATGTAGGCGACTTATAATGGCTCTTGTGGCCGGCCTACTGTGCTATAATAAATCCCGAGAATCAAGTATGTCGGTGATTACCAATAATTGGTATTGCAAATAGAACAGCTACGCCTAACTGAATTGTAGAACACCCAACAGCTGCCAGAAATGATTGTTGCTGCTGGGACTATGCCCAATTTGCCTCCTAATATATATCTGTGAGGCTGAATAACAAAATAGACAAAAGGCACTATTAATTACGAGCATACTAAATTCAGCCTCTTGGGGCTACAACAAGACAAGGCACGCAACCTTCTGGGACGCTCCATCAATTTGGGCACTATTACCACAATGATCTGGTCAAGCCTTTCATAGCCATTCGCGAGTGCGGACCTTATTTGTCGAATACTTGCACTCAAGATTGGGTTCACTTTTCTCATAACCTCCAGTTATGTTTCGCGAACTGTAATATGGAAAGCTCAGAATAGACATCTGAATAAGTCCTCATCCTTGGGGAGAACGCCGGTTTCACATCAGGGAAGACAAATATATACAGTGATATATTTACAGGGGTCTGTCCCACGATGTCACACGCGTTCAACTACATGTGCATGCATGCAAAATTGTGAAATATATATATTTTTTACTTGTACTACATGACATATCGGGATCCGCCATTTTATTTTAGAGAACGAGGAGATAATGTAAATATTTCAAGACTCGAATATTCACGCAATGTAGCTTAAATATTGCTGAGATTAACAGCACACTATTATACCTTAAATTTAGTTGAAAGTCCCCCATAGAAGTAAGTCGCAACTATGATGTACTTCTTAGTCAGACCGCCTCCGTGGTCAAGTGGTAGAGCGTCCGCCCGGAGAGCAAAAGGTCCTGGGTCCGATCCCCGGCCGCGTCATAAGACGCTAAAAGATGGCACATGATGTTACCCATGCCTGGAGCTTGGTATTGAGGGGCTTAAACAGGGACAGGTAGGCTTGGAGTGAGTATACCGTGTCCGATTGGGGCATTCATGATCAACTACGGCATAGTATCTCAGTGGGCTAGCACTATAAAATCGGCATTAGTCCGGACTAGTACAAGCAGCTACACACACACACCACACACGTGCATGCACGTCGTTATATAAGTACAATAATCTTGAACGCGACGTTAAACACCATTTCACCTCACCTCACCTCACCTCACCTCACCTCTAATTCGCCTCTTAAATCAGCTGTTATTTAAATATCTGTGGAAACATGACCTGCTGATGCAAGTCTAATGTACCACATGTTTCAAAGCAGATTGAGTAGGATGGAGAGGTATAACGTGACGGTGACGTTCAGCGTTTCCTAAATGGATATGTAACGAACAGCCGTATCCGTTACAATGTCGTGAGAAATGGTTTACGTCTGTAGTAAGACTTGATACGTTAGTGTCATATTTCCCCTGGGACAAAAGAGTCGTTATAATACCTAGCCCTATACAAAGGTAGAATGCATGTTTTCTGATTATTACTTTTTAAACAATATTGTATTCAGCGAAACCTTGATATAATCGATTTAGACGAAGTTACTACGATGCGACGCCAGAATAACGTCTTCATCAATCACCATTTGACCACTGGCATAAACCAAGATAGTATCATTTCACATCTTCGCCCTTGTCATTTTGATAACAAGATGCTTGTTTTCTTTCCCAGAACACCGCGATAGATTGGGCCTGAACATCTTCTTGATAAGGCTTTCAGTTTCTCAGAGACATCATATAAATAATAAACTGTGCTGTCGCTTCACATTGATGCCCGTTACTTTAAGGGGATTAATTCGGTGTTAGTATTGAAAGTTCCATGTGTGTTTAAAATTGGGGAAATATAAAGTTTTAATACGAATTATTTCACAAGCGTCACAAGAAGCTTTACACTTTGAAAGAAGGGCTTTGAACCATTTTGCATGGCTTCAGGTGCAAACAGTATTTATTACTTACATGTGTATACTGATAAATGATTCCAATGTATGTCTCTCCCCTGGAGTGGTTATGAACTTACTACCTCATTGAAATATCGCATTGCTTAATTGAATTTACAGCGGGTTCATACTTTTTATTATGCTATATAACTGATAGTGAAGTATTTTATCACAATGGATAGCTGAATTAAGAATAGTGATACCGTCTTTGTGTCTGCCTCAAACTACGTTTGAAACCTTTCAATCTGTAGTACTAGGTGATGGTGTCCTCTGGGTATATAGCGCATTCACGAGAAACTGAATTTCATAATGATAGGTAAGAGTAAAGGTAGTGTTTTGTGAGACTTTTGGTTTCGCCGTCGGTCAACCATTTTGCCACCAATCAATTTCCGTCTGTAGCTTCAGGGCTAATCTGATGGATGAGCTCGTGGATACAAATGATTTAAGAAGTCCAGACGAAACTTTTTATAGTTAATGCTCACATTAGGACGACTAAACCGCACTGTTGGCATAAGGTCCATCAAAGGGAAAACATGTTTTTATGTCAGTCACTATGCTGTATGAGGTTTTCAGGGATTTCCATGTGTTTTTGTTGGGTAAGCAATTAACATGCCTTTGCGTGTGTTTGTGTTGGGTGCCAGCGATTGTTCGTGAACACCTAGTATCATCACTATTTGATAGTGAGTCATGGACACATGTTTACGATATAGTTCAATTTAAATTGCGTTTTGCAGAAATGAGTTATAATTATTGAAATGTCTTTTGTCGCTTATTTATGATTATGAAAAGGGTTTTGTCGCTTATATTTACCAAGGCACCTTTGATCAGGTATCCTGAAAAGCCCGCATAGCGTCTTGGGGATACATCTGTCATCTTGGGGCCGGTGGGGGCAGCCTCCTGGTTACAGTGTTCGCTCGTCGCGCCGAAGGACAGGGTTCGATTCCCGACATGGTTACAATATGTAAAGCCAATCTTTTTCTTGTGTCCCCCGCCGTGATATTATTGGGATATTTCTACAAACGGCGTTAAGCCACACTTATTCACTTACTCATCTTGATATTAGGTGAGTAAGTGAGTGAGGTTCAACGTCGTTATTGGCAGTATTTCAGTTATATCACGGAGTGTCAGATTGGTGTTGAGGACATCCCGAAATGATGCAGGTCTGAGACATTTATCAGTTTTGTGAAACCAACGAGCACAGTCGTAGTGCTGAAAAAGACATTTGGGATTCGATCCTACGATGATATGGTTCTGTCATGTCAAAGGAACATAACTCTGCACAGCGATTGCGGCGCCTTTAACCGGGACCCTAGTCTGCCATACAGACCCTGAAACAAATACTCGTTAATCCGACATAATCATATGCAATTAACCATGTCGGATTAACGGGACTTGACTGTATATCGAATACAGCCCATGCAAGTCTATAATGTTTGGCAAGTCTAGATTACTGCAGTATCTGAAAATGAAGAACGTCTCTGGGCTCCTTTTTATTATATTCTATAACTATAATTTTACAACTGTTTTTTTCTGAAAAATATGTTCCTTTCTGAGACTAGATGTTAGTCTTCTTGACCCCCCATATCCCTACATGTAAATTGACAATTTAAGAGACCTTGTGGTATCGTACCGATATTTTGAAAAAATAAGTGAATTTTCAAAAGCCGTCTCTTTGTATGGCTTTCGAATGTATGTATTTTAAGTAAGGCCAAAGTCAACGACGTTCCAGTGCCCACCGATCACAACAGTAATGGTAACGACATTACACCCAGTAACAAATATAATTAACTTCTGCACGAGACGTTTGTCTGGAACCTGATAGTGACTCGATGTCGTTACTTTATTTGCATTCATTCATCACGTCAAGTTCATGTCCTTCCGCGTTCATGACCCTTTGGGACATCTGATCTGAAGGTCACGGCAGAGTCGTGTACAGAAAGTGATGGTACAACGCTGATAGTTCAGGCGTTTGAGCCATATCAAGGGGCAGCTCTAACATGAGAAGGGGCAGCTCTAACATGAGAAGAAGACAAAAGTAGCTTAGCGTACAACGATGAAGGTGCAGGTATTTAATCCATATCAAGGTGCAGCTTAACATGAAAAGAAGCGAAAAGTGACCTTGGGTACATCGATGAGGGAGCAGGTATCTTAGCCATATAAAGGGGCAACTCTAACATGAGAAGAAGCCTAAAATGCCTAAGGGCTCAGTCACACATTCAGGATTTTTAGTGCCATTCGTGGCGGGAAATTCACAAACAATCAGATATTGTTTAGGAAGGGTCCAGATTCAATCGTTTCCACCCGAATTCGTCCCGATTCTCCCGTTCTCAATCCGAATCTGATCCGATTTGTATCTTCCGCATGGTAAAAAAACCGATCGAATCTGTCCCGACAACGTCCCGATTCTCCCGAATGTGATCCGACAGAGATCAGCCAGTGAACGGATAGTGAACCGACAAAGACGGTTC